CATGGAACACAAGGGTCCTATCTGGAACATACACTATATCAGCAAAATTAGTTTATTCGGCTATCTCAGCCACAACCATTGCTTACAGGTGTATAAAGTCAAGCACACAAACATGCAAACATTGGCAGTATAATTGCCTTACTGAAGAGCTCAGGGAGTTTCAACGTGGCACCCTCATAGGATGCCACCTTACCCACAGTCAGTTCAGCAAATTTCTGCCATGCTAGAGCTGCCCCGGTCAACTGTAAGTGCTGGTATTGTGAAGTGGAAACGTCTAGGAGCAACAATGGCTCAGCCGCAAAGCGGTAGGCCACCCAATCTCACAGAATGGGACCGCCGAGTGCTGAAGCGAGTGGACCGTAAAAATCGTCTGTCCTTGGTTGTAACACACACTACCGCGTTCCAAACTTCCCCTGGAAGCAACGTCTGCACAAGAACTGTTCATCGGGAGCTTCATGAAATGGGTTTACATGACCGAGCAGCTGCACACAAGCCTAAGATCACCATACGCAAAACCAATCGTCGGCTGGAGTAGTGTAAAGCTCGCCGGCATTGAATCATGCTTCACCATCTGGCAGTCCGACAGACAAATCTGGGTTTGGCGGATGTAGGAGAACGTCACCTGCCCCAATGCATAGTGCCAACTGTAAAGTTTGGTGGCGGGGGAATAATGGTCTAGGGCTATTTTTCATGGTTCGGGCTAGGCCCCTTAGTTCCAGTGGAGGGAAATCTTAATGCTACAGCATACAATGACATTCTAGGCGATTCTGTGCTTTGGGGAAGGCCCTTTCCTGTTTCAGCATGACAATGCCCCCATGCACAAAGTGAGGTCCATACAGAAATGGTTTGTTGAGATCGGTGTGGAAAAGCTTGACTTGCCTGAACAGAGCCCTGACCTCAACCCCATTGAACACCTTTGGGATGAATTGGAACCCCTACTGCGAGCCAGGCCTAATCGCACAACATCAGTGCCCAACCTCACTAATGCTCTTGTGGCTGAATGGAAGCAAGTCCCTGCAGCAATGTTCCAACATCTAGTGGAAAGCCTTCCTAGATGAATGGAGGCTGTTTTAGCAGCAAAGGGGGATCCAACTCCATATTAATGCCCATGATTTTGGAATGAGATGCTTGACGAGCAGGTATCCACATGCTTTTGGTAATGTAGTGTATGTTGGTTCAGTGAAGGAGAACCCCTGGGGAGTTCTATAATGAACCTTTAGGTTCCCATAGATGAAGCAAGATATATATATATATAACCCTTTTTTGTTCTATCCAGAACCTATTTTTCTAAGAGTGTGGTTGTGGTCAGAGTCTAAACTACCGTTGTTGCGTGTGAAAACTGAACAAAGATGATGCAAGCTAAAATATGATGCGAAAGATTGGAGTCAGCTTTGCTGTCTCCAATCAGAGCAGCAGGATCAACGTACAGCCTGCCCTTCTCTTTACAGACAGGCAAACTAGCATGTTGAGTTATTTAGAGCACAGAGCACAATCCTGAGAAGTAGAATGAAGCTAGTGAGCATTAGAAATCTTCTCTGTATCATTCCGGTCGTCCAGGGAAGCATTAAAATGCTTGCTGTTCGGTCCAAAACAGATTCACAAATCATGGAAATTTGTCGAGCTATGAAGATATTTTCTCCCTCTGATGTACGTGTTGCTAGACAACAGTTGCCTTGGTAACCCATCTCTGTCCATGACTAAAGCCAGTTTAAGAAACATTATAAAAAAAAGTTTGTGCTTGGAAACTAAATAAATACTGCACTCTGACCCACAAAACGTATTTGCAAGTTTCATGATAGTAAAGAAAGTTAACTTCAAAATGTGATTTAGTTTTATTGGAATTTGCAGCTGTTGTTGGTAAGTAATGAATCCTCTAGCTTCTGATATTAATTAACGCATCTATAAAGAAAGCAGTTAATGGGTTACTATTCCTCATCCGTTTTTAGATTTGAAAAGCAGAGAAGTAGAGGAAGATTTCATACGCTCTACTTTTTTGTCTGACTTGTTGGGGGAGTGGTCAAAATGGGAGTTGTTTGGAAAAAGTTTGCGAAAAATATGTTAGGAATTTTCAACACATTAATATTTCTTATAATAAAAAGAAGTGATGCAGTCAGTCTCTCCTCAACTCTTACTCAAGAGAGACTGGCATACATAGTATTTATATTAGCCCTTTGATTATAATGAAGAGCAAGATGTGCCGCTCTGTTCTGGGCCAGCTGTAGCTTAACAGTTTTTATTTTATTTAATTTTTTATTTCACCTTTATTTAACCAGGTAAACCAGTTGAGAACAAGTTCTCATTTACAACTGCGACCTGAAAAAGTTCCAAAAACATTGTTAATGCAGTTACTAAAACAGATGCATCGATAGCTCCGTAGCATATATTTTTGTTCAAATGCCAGATTTGAATAGGAGAGAAGTAGACGAAGATGTCACACCCTATAACATTTTGTCTAACTTTTTAGAAAATTTGTCAATTTCAGTTGTTAATAAAAAGTTACAGAACATTTTGTTGATGAGGTTACTAAAACAGCGGTACGTTTAAACTTTTTGTCTTAGTTGTTGGCAAAGTGGTCAGAGTAGATAATTTGTGTCAAAAGTTGCATTGTTGCATTTACAGAGAATGGAATGTTGGAAGTGATAACGCCACAATGGGACCTTTTAGAATGTCGAGGAAATCCCATGCAAGTGGATGTAGGACAAAAAGAAGGACAAAAAGTTTAACAATTTAAAAAGTATGAAAGTTATCAAAATGTAGGATACAATTACACTATTCCTGAACCATCTGCACATTTTAAAGTTAGAATTACATCTGTCTGTCAGGCAAGAAAGCGAGAGAGAGAGAGAGAGAGAGAGAGAGAGAGAGAGAGGAGAGAGAGAGAGAGAGGAGAGAGAGAGAGAGAGAGAGAGAGAGAGAGAGTGTGTGAGTGGAATGGGAGGTGTGTAACTGTATCATAAAATGTATTATGGAAACCCCTAAGAGGCGATTATTTTATTTATTTATTTATTTCACCTTTATTTAACCAGGTAAGCGAGTTGAGAACAAGTTCTCATTTACAACTGCGACCTGGCCAAGATAAAGCAAAGCAGTTAGGAAGAGAGGAAGAGAGTACGTGTATGGTTGAGAAAAATACCCTTAGTATAACTGCAGTTAGAGTGCAGTATAACTGCAGCATTCTACAAAGACTGCGTCCAAAATATCAATGTTTTTTTTACTACAGTAATTTGGCATTGTAACTGCAGTTACAGTGCAGTATAACTGCAGTCCTACTGCAGTACACAGCAGTTATTCTGCAATTACTGCGTCCAAAATACCACAGTCGACTGCAGCTACTGCACTTTTACTGCAGTTTTAAAACTGCAATCTTTTTTTGTAAGGGGAAAGAGAGGAAGAGACAGTGTAAGAGGGAGAGTGAGAGATTACATTCCATACCACAATTGTATCCTATTTGTTGCTCTTCTCCCTTTCCCTCAGTGAAAGTGAGCGAAGTGATGTGGAGAGTCAGGGCTCAGCAGCAAAAGGCAGGGAGGAAGAGGAGTTAGAGATGATTGGAGGTATAGAGATGTGGAGGGAGGAGTGGTGCGAGAAGGGAGTGGAGGAAGAGGAGGGAGAGGAGAGTGGAGAGGAGAGTGGGAGGAGAGGAACATGGAGCGGAAGAGAAACATGTAGAGGAAAAGGGAGAGAGGAAGAAGAAGAGGGAAAGGAGGAAGCAGAGGGAGAGGAGGAAGCAGAGGGAGATGGAAGCAGTGGGAGAGGAAGGAGAGGAGGAGGGAGGGGAAGAGGGAGAACACACCCGAGAGGGGAGCCTACATTTTCATGGAGTGTGTCTGCCCCAAGTCCCACCATTCCCCCTTGTACCACACAGCCTGGGCCTAAAGTGACAGTGGCAGGGGTTTGGGATTTTTTTATTTTTTTACGTGACAGGAACTTATATCTGTTCTAGAGCTTGTAATGGATTACAACAAGAAAATGGGCGGGGTTGACCATCTTGACCAACTGAGGAGCTATTACAATGTTGGACGCACAGGCAGAAAATGGTGGAACTAAGTGTTTTGGGGGATGCTCAACATTGACATCATTAACGTGAGTCCCCTGTAGCTCAGTTGGTAGAGCATGGCGTTTGCAAAACCAGGGTTGTGGGTTCGTTTCCCACGGAGGGCCAGTATGAAAATGTATGCACTCACTAATTGTAAGTCGCTCTGGATAAGAGCGTCTGCTAAATGACTAAAATGTAAAATAAATGTGTGCATTGTGGGGGGGGCATTGTTACAGAAGTAAGAATCGTCAATCAAATAGCCTACTTTGTGTGGGATTTGAAATACTTTCTGAATATTGGACTCTGGTCACATTTTGCATAATTAAAAATATATATTTGTTTAAAAAAAATATAAGTATAATATATTATACTTACATTTTAGTCATTTAGCAGACGCTCTTATCCAGAGCGACTTACAGTTAGTGAATACATATTTTTATTCATACTGGCCCCCCCGTGGAAATCGAACCCACAACCCTGGCGTTGCAAACGCCATGCTCTATCAACTGAGCTACATCCCTGCCGGCCATTCCCTCCCCTACCCTGGACGACGCTGGGCCAATTGTGCGCCGCCCATGAGTCTCCCGGTCGCGGCCGGCTGCGACAGAGCCTGGATTCGAACCAGGATCTCTAGTGGCACAGCTAGCACTGCGATGCAGTGCCTTAGACCACTGCGCCACTCAGGAGACATTTTGCGTGAGTAATTTAGTCAAATTTACTACACTTTAAATATTACAATATTGTCTCCTTAAATGCAGAATAACAAATCCAAAAACACAGAATATAAGAGAGATCCAAGTAGAAAAATAACTAATCAAACCTGAAAAGGTTTTCCTTCATAGCAACCCTCTATGAAATCTTCTAAGCCCCTCAGAGCTGCATGAGATTGTCACTTAAATATCAAAATAGTATTGTTTAGTTTCAGTGAACTTCTAACTGGTACATAATATTATATTCTTCACACATATTGCTGGTTGGAGTTTCTTCCATTCATACTCTGGGCTCTGAAAGACTTGTCATAGGCCAGTCTGGGATTCACGTCATCCTTGTACACGGTTGTGTGTTGGGACGCAGCTTTGTAGGCCATCCCATAACTGAGGACAGAAAGAAAATGAAATGATTAGAATAAATATAATTATTAATAATATTTGTGAGTAAGAATTAGAAAGAGGATGAAGAGTATGGTTCTAGTTTAGAACTCTCGTTTTCTGGTGGATAAGATGGAATTTACCCATGTCTCTTCTCCTCTGATGGAATCATCCCTCTGCAGGCAATACACATCATAACTCCTCCCACGACCAACACAGCCCCGCCTATCCACCCCACAAAGAGGGCGGTGCCAAAGGTGTACCTGAAAAACAGAAGTGATACATTGACACATAAAAAATTACAACTTAGCAAATTGCCATCTTGACCTTATGATTGATACCAGCTTATACACCAAAGCAGCCTCCCAAATGACACTATTCCCTACATAGTGCACTACTTTTGACCGGACTCTAAAGGATAGGGTGCCATTTGGGAGAAGTGAATCCTTCTCACGTTGCAGTTAATGTACCTTGGAGTGAGAGATCCTCCAAGTCCTCCTAACCCTCCTCCCAGTCCACCTTCTCCTGCATAGGTGGTGAACCGGAAGCTGGACACGATTAGGTTGGCAAAGACAGACGCTCCAGCAATGCCACAGACACCTAGGAGGAGGAAAATTACATTTACATTTTGGTTGGTAAGAAGAAGAAAACAGACATTTTTGTTTTAGACTTTAAACCCAAATTGAATCAGAATGATTTGGCTTGCCAGTTATGAACATCAATACCAAAACATTACCAAAAAATTACCAAATCATCACCAAAACATTACCAAAACATCATCGAAACATTACAACAATACAATCCAAAACATGGTATTTTGGTATTTGGTATTTTATTAAGATCCCCATTAGCTGTTGCAAAAGCAGCAGCTACTCTTCCTACGGTCCACATAAAACATGAAACATGACATAATACAGAACATTAACAGACAAGAACAGCTCAAGGACAGAACTACATCAATTTAAAAAAGGCACGCGTAGCCTACATATCAATACATACACACAAACTTTAAATAGGGGAGATGGCGTTGTGCCGTGAGCTGTTGCTTTATCTGTTTTTTGAAACCAGGTTTGCTGTTCATTTGAGCAATGTGAGATGGGAGAGACGCTGGGGCACGGGGGCAGGGCACGCGTAGACAAGATGGCGTATTGAATAGAAAACGGTACAAAACACCTCAAGATAAAAACTAAATATTCAAAATCAGTAAGTTAGACTAAATATTAGCATTTCATATATTCACAGTTAATAAAATTCAATCTGGATAATAACACAAACAGATCATAAGGCTAGAGAAATATATCGACAAATATTACAACAACACGCAACACCCAAACATGACTGAAGATAAGCGTGGAGAGCCAATCCCCAAAAGGAAACGTGACTCATCGACTGATACAGATGATATATGCTTTTCACCACTGGTGAATGACAAATAAATGACAAATTGGGCATACTAGAATTGGTCAGTAAAGACGTAAAATAGTTGAAAGCGAGTCTTCAAATGAGTGACGAAAAAGCTTTGGTAATGGAGAAAGAAACCAAAAAATTAAAAATGACAGTCTCTAAAATGGAAACGGACGTTAGGGAATTAAAAAAGGAGAACAACCTTCTGAGAGAAGCCTTACTAGACATCCAAACTAGATAGATGAGGGAAAATCTAGTACTTACGGGTATTCAGGAAAAGGAGGGAGAAATAACAGAGAATATTATGAAGGACTTCCTGCATACAGCGCTACAAATCCCACTCGAGGCTGTCGATAAAATCCAACTCGAACGTGTACACCGTTTCGGAAAAAAAGGACAGAAATATGAGCGCCCAATCATTGCCAAATTTGCTTTTTTTAAAGATAAAGCTATGGTGAAAAGCCTAGGAAAAAGACTTGCTGGCACGAAAATAGGCATGAATGATCAGTTCCCGAGGGAGATTGTAGAAAGGCTCAAAGTTCTGTATCCAATCTTCAAGGAAAACAGATTAAAAGGAAAACGTGTTGCACTCGTGGTGGATAAACTATATATTGACAATCAAATGTTCAGAGACACAAAGACTATTCCATGGCTATTCTAAAAGTTGTAATAGAGGAGTCAAATATTGGAGCACCTGATACTAGCAATGATAGGGATTGTAATATTAAATAACATTTATAGTAAGTATAGTATTTTATAAAAGGATAAAACGACATAACAAGCAGAATAATACATCTTTAAATACAAATAATTAGAACATGGCTTTTTTTGCGGGAGGTTGTTGTTTTGGCGGATGGTTGTTGTGGTTGGTCCTGTGTTCTCTCTGGCGTCCTTTCCCCCTTGCGGCAGATGTGGATGTGGGTGCGTTTGCATGCTCGGCCCATTTCTTCCGCAGTCAACCATGTGGTGTGCATTTTTGTATTTGAAAAGGTGCGGCGTTAAGTGAATGAGAGGGGAAATGGTTGCATATCCCAGAGCCGACCGGGGGTCTATGAGCAGGGGTAGTGAGAGAGAGCTTTCAATTTTGTGTAGATGAGGGATATACATTTTTTAATATAGTATAATCTAATTTTTCATTGTCCTATCATGATGGAAAGATCCCTAACCCTATAACCTGGACACCCACCTGAGCGACCCATACACCAAAGAGAAGTTCCCATCTCTTTTATGGACCTGCTGTGAGTATGTAGCCTAAACAGAGAAATAAATGCGGTCAGAGACCTACTTGAGCAGCACCGCCCCCTCAAGATTCTGAGCCTGCCTGGCAGGGTTGGTCCTACAAAGCCAGAGCCCCCTGATGGGAGAGCATAATATACAAGGAAATTCTCAAAGCTGCTAATGAGAAACTTGACGACCTTTTACCTAGCCGGTGGGGTACGCCCACCCAGGTAGTGGCAGTGCTGGCAACACTGACTGCAGTAACCCATGGGGAGGGGGTCAGTCTCGGACAATCAGAGAGGGGGATTATCATTGTGGCCCAGGTGGCACAAAACAATCAAAGGTCTGACCGCACGGAGATGCTTGGGAAAATGGTTACAACAGGGGATCAGAGTGTTTGTGTCTCAGGTGAAGAGGGTGGATCTGATCTCTATCACCTAGGACTTGACATAGATTAAGTAGATTCATCAAATCTCACATTGTTATCAATTTCTGCTCAATCTACATGCTTTCTCAATCAGCTTTAACTGTATGTGCACTCGTAAATCAGGTTATTTCTCGAGTTGGGCTCTGGGATATAACAGCCGTTGAGTATCGGATTTTATGGTGGATTGTGGAGGAGGGGGGTTGAGTGTGTTGGAGTATGTGAGTATGTGTGTGTGTGCTTGTCTGGCATCTGTTGTGGGGGGGTGGGGATGTTGGGGGGGGAGGGGGGGGGGGGGGGGGGGTATGGGATGGACCACAGGAATTATTTGCTAGGACAATAATTGCTTGTCAATGAATTAAATGTAATACAATGGCAATCTGGGTTATATGTTAGAATCCTATGCGTGAACTGCCAACATTATTACGCATATTAATTGATAATGATGGAAAATAGGATATGCAATTTTTTTTTTAAATAGTTATATAGATATAGATATAGAGGTGAAAGCATTGGAAATGCTTTTGGCGGTTAATCTGCTTCTGTTTTGTGGGTGGCACTGTGTGCTGTTTTCGATGGATGGGTCCTGGCCTCTCGGGGCCTTAGGGATCCGGAGGGACGTGGGTGGGATGCTGATCACTGGAATGACGGCTCAACTTGGGATGGGGAGGGGCTTTAGCGGGGGAATTAGTGGAGAACAATTGAAGGATTACTCCGTAGCAATGCAAATATCACGGTACAGCTATATGGACACTCAATCATTACGGTATTTTTTATTGGTATATTTACAAACATATATAATGATAAATAGACTTGAAACTTGTATCTCATTATGGTGTATGGTGAAATAAGTATAGCCAGTTATAATTGTAATGGCTTAGATGATAATAACAAAAGAAGAACAATATTTACATGGCTCAAAGAGAAGGAATATAATATCTATTGTATACAGGAAACTCATTCAACAATTCGAGATGAAGTAGCGTGGAAAAAAGAATGGGGGGGGGGGGAATATACTTCTCCCATGGGCAAAGAAATTCAAAAGGGGTGATGATATCAATTAATAGTAATTTCGATCCGAATGTGCAAATTGTCCAAATAGATACGCAAGGTAGATGGATTATTTTAAATATGTTATCGGACCATAAACAGATATGGCTCGTTAACCTTTACGGACCAAATAATGATGATCCAAAATTCTTTGACAATATATAATAAATTATCAACCCTGCAAGCAATTCAAGACAATATTATTATGGTGGGGGAATATAATACTGTTTTAAATAGCTCAATGGACCGTAAAGGAAATCACACCACAAACAATCACCCACATGCTCTTAAGGAAATTGTGAATGTCATGGATACATTAGAACTAGTAGATATATGGAGGCTTAAATATACTGATCTAGTGAGATATACATGGCGGAGACTGAATCAAGCTAGTCGTCTTGACTTCTTTCTTATCTCATTCTCGTTGGCACCAAAAGTAAAAAAAAATGTTGATAGGGGACAGAATGCGGTCGGACCATCATATAATAGGCATATACATTACTCTTACTGAATTTCCACGTGGGCGAGGATATTGGAAATTTTATCAAAGCCTATTGGATGATAATTTATTTATAATTAGAACAAAGGAATTTATAACTGACTTTTTCCAACATAACATAGGTACAGCGAATCCCCTTATTGTATGGGACACTTTTAAATGTGCCTTTAGAGGCCATGCAATTCAGTACTCATCTCGAAAACAAAAGCAATTTAGGTCAAAAGAGTTTATACTAAGAAAGGAAATAGAAAGTCTAACAGAACAGATAGATGGCAATAAAAACTGTAACATAGACGCTCAGAATAAATTAGCGGAAAAACAAAAATAAATGGAGAAACTTATTCAAGAAAGATCAAGTGTAATATATTATAAAAACAAAGCAAACTGGATGGAATATGGGGAAAAATGCACAACATTATGTTTTAATATTCAACATGCTACCAAAAATAACTTAATGAAACTGCTTACAATTGACGGAGTCACCCCATAATTCACCAAATTATATTTTGAAGGAAGAAACAAAGTACTTTAAGCATATGTTTTCTTTTCAGTCGCCTCCATCTCCTCTAACTGAAGCTAATTGTAGATTTTTTTTTTCTATTGATAATGTCAAATTAACAGCCACACAGAAAGACTCATGTGAAGGTGAAATTACAGAGGATGAACTTCTGGATGCAATTAAAGACTTTAAGTCTGGGAAAACTCCAGGGTTGGATGGCATACCAGTCGAGGTATACCAAACCTTTTTTGATATACTAAGAGGACCGTTATTAGCATGTTTTAACCACTCCTATGTAAATGGTAGATTATCTGACACTCAAGAAGAAGGTCTGATCTCATTATTACTGAAACAGGATACAAGTGGAAAATATAAAGATCCAGTCCATTTACAAAATTGGAGGCCCCTTACACTTCAGTGTTGTGATGCAATAATCCTAGCAAAATGTATAGCGCATAGAATTAAAAAGGTATTGTCGGATATTATTCATTCTAATCAGACAGGTTTTTTACATGGAAGATACATTGGAGATAATATAAGGCAAGTATTGGAAACAATAGAACACTATGGAAAATATGGGAAACCAGGCCTGCTATTCATAGCAGACTTCGAAAAGGCATTTGATAAAGTTCGACTGGGGTTTATATATAAATGCCTGGAGCATTTCAATTTTGGAGAATCTCTTATAAAATGGGTCAAAATCATGTATAGTAACCCTAGGTGTAAAATAGTAAATAATGGCTATTTCTCAGAAAGTTTTAAACTGTCAAGAGGAGTGAAACAAGGTTGTCCACTATCGGCATATCTATTTATTGTGGCCATCGAGATGTTAGCTATTAAAATCAGATCCAATAATAATATCAGAGGATTACGCTGTACGCTGATGATTCATGTTTTCTTTTAAATCCACAACTAGAATCCCTCCACAGCCTCATAGAGGATCTAGATACATTTTCTAACCTCTCTGGATTACAACCAAATTGTGACAAATGTACTATATTACGTATTGGATCACTAAAAAATAAAAATTTTACATTACCATGTAGTTTACCAATAAAATGGTCTGATGGTGATGTGGATATACTCGGAATACATATTCCAAAGGAAATAAATGATCTCACTTCAATACATTTTAATAGAAAGTTAGCAAAAATAGATAAGATCTTACTACCATGGAAAGGAAAATACCTGTCAATTTGTGGAAAAATCACCCTGATTACCTCTTTAGTATTATCCCAGTTTACCTATTTGCTTATGGTCTTCATACGCCTAGCAAACAGTTTTTTAAATTATATGAGAAAAAAATATTAAATTTTATTTGGAACGGCAAGCCAGACAAAACTAAAAGGGCATATTTATATAATGAATATGAATTCGGAGGACAGAAATTATTACATATTAAAGCATTAGACCTATCACTAAAAGCTTCAGTCATACAAAAATTATACTTAAATCCGAACTGGTTCTCAAGCAAATTAGTAAGATTGTCTCACCCAATGTTCAAGAAAAGCCTTTTTCCCTTTATTCAGATTACAACAACTCATTTGCAGTTATTTTAAAAGGAAATCATCTCCCAAATATCACTATTTCTAAAACAAGCCATAGAAAGTTGGTTGCAATTTCAATTTAATCTTCCAGAAACGACCGAACAAATAATGTAACAAATATTGTGGTTAAATTCAAATATACTAATTGACAAAAAAACGTTATTTTTTGACAGAATCTTTAAAAAAGGTATAATCTTCATAAATGATATCATCGGTAGGACTGGTGGAGTTATGTTGCACATGCAGCTAACAAAAACATATGGAAATGTCTGCTCTACCCAAAATTACAACCAAATAATTGCAGCCTTACCGCAAAAGTGGAAGAGGAAAGTTGAAGGAGGAGAAAGTAAGGAACTTGTCTGTCGGCCTTGCATTAAAGAACATAATTGGTTAAGGAAAACTGTGATAAATAAAAAAGTATATTAGTTTCACTTAAGGACCAAAGGATTGACAGCCGTCCCATATAGATTGCAAAATAGTTGGGAAGAGATTTTTGACATACCGATCCCATGGCATAGTGTTTATGAACTGACACGCAAAACGACACCGGATTCAAAAATTAGAATCTTTCAATTTAAATGATTATATAAAATTCTTGCTACCAATAGAATGTTATTTATATGGGGGATACAAACTTCCCAGCTCTGCATATTTTGCTGTGAAGAGACAGAATCATTAGATCATTTGTTTTGGTTCTGTCCATTTGTAGCTTGTTTTTGGACACAGGTCCAGGAATGGCTAAAGGATTGCAATATTTACCTGGAGCTAACCTTACAGATAGCATTACTGGGTGATCTGAAAAGTCATAGTCAATCGATCAATAATTTAATAAGACTTTTAGCAAAAATGTTTATTTTAAATTCACAATCTGTAGAAGCAATGAGAATAGAAAGGTTCAGAACTTTTGTAAAACATCACAGTACGGTTGAAATATATATGGCAAATAGAAATCCTATATGGATGGTGTTAAGAGATAGATGGGAGGTATTGAATAGAGTTGAAGGATGGGACTAATAACAAATAACAACAAATAATAACAAAGATAGCTAATAATGTAAGCATACTGTGTCCATAATAAGTATATAGGTTGTATGTTGGAAGTTTTTGGGAAAGAGCACAGTTAGAAAGATATGGCATATAGAAGCAAACCGGATGGACATCATGAAAATGATCGGAGAGGTTGAGAGTAGAAGAATTTCAGGAGCAAAAATTTTTTTTTATATATATATATATAATAGAATTATTGTAAAATTAACTGTGTCCATAAGGTGTAGATAGTAAGTATAGACCGGAAGTAGAGGCCTGGGCATTGTTGTTCACTAATTTACTCCAAAGTAGGGAAAGGATGGCGGGGTTGAAAAGTAATAAAGGGGAGTATATATATAAAAAACATGGGGGATTGGAAGTGATGCAGACAATTACATTGATAGAAGATACAATCTATCTGCAATATTAAGCTGATCCACACCCCCCCCCCCAAAAATAAATAATAATAATAATAATAATAATATGAGATGGGAGTTCCATGCAATAATGGCTCTATATAACACTGGTGGCATGTTTGGTGAGGTAAGTGTGTGTAAGTTGACTATGCATACAATTTGGAATTTTCTACACATTCATGTTTCTTAGATAAATAAGAAGTGATGCAATCAGTCTCTCCTCAACTCTTAGCCAAGAGAGACTGGCATGCATAGTATTTATATTAGCCCTCTGATTACAATGACGAGCAAGAGGTGTTCTGGGCCAGCTTCAGCCTAACTAGGTCTTTCCTTGTAGCACTCGACCACACGACTGGACAATAATGAAGATGAAACATAACTAGTGCCTGCAGGACTTGCTTTTTGGAGTGTGGTGTCAAAAAAGATTCACCTGCGAGCTGGAACATCACCAAAACTTTGGCAAAAAACATCACCTCACCTGCGAGCAGAAACATGACCCCAGAGGTCAGCGTCATTTTAGCCTTGACTTTGTCCTCCATATTTCCCATCTTCAGACACTTGAGGGCAAAGATGGCGATCAGACAGCCAATTGCTCCCAGAACTATCCCCACTATCATCAGGGCCCGCACAGCTTGGAGCATAGCTACGGGTCAAACAAAAACAGACACAACGTCAGATAAAATAGTCTTACTTTTAAACTTAAGTAATGACCTGTGATTGTGTGTATCCTACTTTCCTATAAGTATTCTATGTATCCATCTACTGTGGTATTTAATTTAGATCATAGATGTTCCAACATTAAAAAACTAAAACTACATTCATTCTCAAATCTACATCCAAATGACAAAAGGTTTTATTGATTAGGGCCCTATAGTACTCCTGTTTTGATGGGCCATTTAACTATATTTTGTGCCTGGAAGATAATCTCACTTCCTGCTCTTGAATTTAATTCTACAAATTTTTTAAAAGATTGAACTGCTCTATTGAACATGTTTAAATCAATAAAACCTTTTTGAGACGAAAACACATTACCTTTTATTGATCATGGCTCTAAACTCTACTCACATTAACATGACCTACTGACTAAACTATATGGAAGACAATCTCACTACCCGCCTTTAACACGCATTTTTAAAGATTAAACGCTGCTGAAGAAACTTGATTAGACATGTTCAAAATGGTTTTAGGTTTCAAGTCAAGTGAAATAAAAAAAGTTTGTTTTATACCGCTTGTTAATATCCACTAATAGAAACAAATGCCATATCTTATCTAGAGTCGCACCCTTGAGAGGCACTCGACATACAAAGCTTGATCGAGATCAAGTTAAAAACAGTTTGCTGCTGACCGTCCATTGACATAGTTATTTGGAAAATACTTTATATTTGATAAATGTACAGTAAATCAAAGAAACATAATGTTTAACTTCTTACAAGTCAATAAAGCAAACCTTACTTGGCAGCCCTAGTATGGTAAAATAAGGCCTGCATTGGGTCATTCCAGATGAGTTTTCTACACATGATTTCCAGAGTCCAGAGTAAGTGTAAACACTTGTTACGACTGAGAAGGACCGGTCCTGTAAACTCCACATATCCATGGCTGTAGCAGCAGATATTAAAAACTGTCCCAATACACCCAGCATGAAGCCGATTTGTTGAATCATTGAGGCGGCCGTTTTAGCTTCCCTTCTTGTTTGATGTCAGACACCTCTTTGCTTGAAGTCATGAAATGGTCTTCTGTTCTCGGGTTCTTATCACTATGTACTCCTGAACAGGGAACCAACCTTATCAAATGTTTGCTTAAAATTGTCCTGAGTTGCTGTCACAGTTTCGGGCAACGGTTGTTTATAAAGGCTGTGGCTTGATCTTGTTTCCATATGTGACTCATTTCAGGAAACTACGCGTATGTCGTTTATCACCATTTCACAGGAGAGGCATTTGAACGTAAACATAGATTTTTTATCAAAATGCGTTTATTGGCAGAAATTCCATCAAACGTATGCCATCTGTAAATATTAATACAATAGTTTAATTACTAGCCTAGTTGGTTTAGCCACAGAATTTTGATGAGCTGGACATGCCGAGAGATGAGTTCGAATTGGTCTGCCATGTAGCAGGCTCTGTCTATAATATGAACTGCTCAGTATGTGTAGATAATCATTTTGTAATGCAGCCTTTTTGAAAGATATCTCAAAGAACTGCGAACGTATTGCTAATGCTCTCCACTTTCTGGAGGACCGAGTTTTGAAATCAGTGGAATGCCCGGTGGAAGCAGAGTATGATAGCTAAGGAGAAGGAGAAAATTCAGGCGTTTGATTGCAAATATGCGGAGGGAATCGAAAAGAGAACACACAGAAGGTGTAAAACACCTGTCTCTGGATTACATCTTCAAGCTAAGGGCAACCATGGCATCCGTAACAGAGAGAGAGAAGTGTTCATCCATGCATATGGGAAAGAGAGTCTAGCTAGCTACATGTTCAGATATTATATGTTTTTAATTTAGTCAGAAAGTTGTTTTCATTGCAATTTAAAGCGTACTGTTAGCTAGCTAGCTAACATTAGCTGGCTGGCTGGCTCGCTAGCTAACGTTACATGTATAATCTTTGTAGTTATTTTATTCGTATCTCAGAGCCATTTGCATTGCTAGTTATAGCCTAATGTTAGCTAGCTAGCTAACATTGAACCTAGTTGGTTAGCTTTAGCTACCTGTAGATTCATGCAGGGTAATAACATTATGAGATGGGATTATGGTTAATTGTTTAGCTAGCTAGCTACATGTCTAAACAAAAGACTCCACTGTGCAAGTAACCATTTCACTGTACCGTTTACACCTTCTGTATCCTGTGCATTTGACAAATAAACTTTTATTTTATTTGATATAGTGTGTGTTTACCAGAGACGGTAATGTGAAGAACAACATAACTTGCACCAAAGTCAAATTAGGACATAACATTAGGCCAACGAGACAGTGTCCAAGTTATCAAATTCTCCGGCAGAATGCCCTCCTTCTATTTTGTCACACTCACAACCGTAGGCTATTTTCTTTAATTAGCTCACCATTAACTTGTAAATAATGATCATGTTTTGAGTTTATTTTCTTGTAATAATGAATACAAATTAGCTAAAGTTAAGATGTTGTCAGCTACAGTTGAAGTCGGAAGTTTACATACACTTAGGTTGGAGTCATTAAAACTTGTTTTTCAACCACCCCACACATTTCTTGTTAACAAACTATAGTTTTGGCAAGTCGGTTAGGACATCTACTTTGTGCATGACACAAGTCATTTTTCCAACAATTGTTTACAGACAGATTATTTCACTTATAATTCACTATAACACAATTCCAGTAGGTCAGAAGTTTACATACACTAAGTTGACTGTGCCTTTAAACAGCTTGGCAAATTCCAGAAAATGATGTAATGGCTTTAGAAGCTTCTGATAGGCTAATTTACATCATTTGAGTCAATTGGAGGGGTACCTGTGGATATATTTCAAGGCATATCTTCAAACTCAGTGTCTCTTTGCTTGACATAATGGGAAAAAAAAAAAAAAAATCAGCCAAGACCTCAGAATTTTTTTTGTAGACCTCCACAAGTCTGGTTCATCCTTGGGAGCAATTTCCAAATGCCTGAAGGTACCACGTTCATCTGTACAAACAAGAGTACGCAAGTATAAACACCATGGGACCACGTAGCAGTCATACCGCTCAGGAAGGAGACGCGTTCTGTCTCCTAGAGATTAATGTACTTTGGTGCGAAAAGTGCAAATCAATCCCAGAACAACAGCAAAGGACCTTGTGAAGATGCTGGAGGAAACAGCTACAAAAGTATCTATATATCCATTGTAAAACGAGTCCTATATCGACATAACCTGAAAGGCCACTCAGCAAGGAAGAAACCACTGCTCCAAAACCACCATAAAAAAGCCAGACTACAGTTTGCAACTGCACATGGGGACAAAAATCGTACTTTTTTGAGAAATTTCCTCTGGTCTGATCAAACAAAAATAGAACTGTTCGGCCATAATGACCATTGTTATGTTTGGAAGAAAAAGGGGGTTGCTTGCAAGCCGAAGAACACCATCCCAACCGTGAAGCACGGGGGTGGCAGTATCATGCTGTGGGGGTGCTTTGCTGCAGAAGGGACTGGTGCACGTCACAAAATAGATGGCATCATGAGGAAGGAAAATTATGTGGATATATCGGCCCTGACCTCAATCCTATAGAACATTTGTGGGCAGAACTGAAAAAGCGTGTGCGAGCAAACCTGACTCAGTTACACCAACTCTGTCAGGAGGAATGGGCCAAAATTCACCCATCTTATTGTGGGAAGCTTGTGGAAGGCTACCCGAAATGTTTGACCCAAGTTAAACAATTGAAAGGCGATGCTACCAAATACTAATTGAGTGTATGTAAACTTCTGACCCACTGGGAATGTGATGAAAGAAATAAAAGCTGAAATATATAATTCTCTCTACTATTATTCTAACATTTCACATTCTTAAAATAAAGTGGTGATCCTAACTGACCTAAGACAGGGGAATGTTTACTAGGATTTAGTGTCAGGAATTGTGAAAAACTGAGTTTACATGTATTTGGCTAAGGTGAATGTAAAATTCCGACTTTAACTGAATATGATATGGTCATTATTTGAAACTGGCTAGCCATTTAACCATAACGTTAGCTAGCTAGCTAACTAGCTAGCTAACAAGCTAGAAACGAACCAAAACATTGTTTAGAATTTTGCTTTGAGTTAACTGGTTAGCTATGTTGACATATAATATATACCTTTTTAAATGGATGGGTTTATTGGTGTTAAAATACACCAGTTATGCTATTTTGGACCACTAGGCTGCTGATGTCATGCAGCCTGTCATTTATGTGTTTATACTTTTTCATAACGACAACGACAAGGTTGATGTCGGACGACAATAGAATGTTCATGATGTCACTGCGACAACTGTATACAGACATGTCGATAGATGTAGTATAAACCAGCCTTTAGTCTTGAAATCTTTGGTTGTTTAGTACACTTCTGTACTCACTCTGGCCTCACATTTGAATCCTTAAAGAGATGGGTGGGGCTAAGGCTTAAGAGGGTGTGAATGATACTGAATGTGTGTAGACAAAGAAGAGCTCTCCAGTAGGTGTACCAAAACATTCAAGGGACATTTTCTGAAAAGTGGGTTTATCAACTTTCAAAGCAGAAATGCTTTCCCATTGTTCCTCAACTGTAGTGTATGATATAGAATGTTCTAGCTCTGAGTCACTACTTTTATCCAATGTAAAAAACACCATTTCAAATGTTGCTAAATAAGACCGAATCGAACCGGTCGGTCACATATGTGGTTATTTCTACAACGTTTTCGGGAAACATACACTACCAGTCAAAGGTTTGGACCCACCTACTCATTCAAGGGTTTTTCTTTATTTTTACTATTTTTTACATTGTAGAATAATAGTGAAGACATCAAAACTATGAAGTTACACATATGGAATCATGTAGTTGGCAAAAAAGTGTTAAACAAACCAGAATATATTTTATATTTGAGATTCTTCAAATAGCCACCCTTTGCCTTGACAGCTTTGCACACTCTTGGCATTCTCTCAACCAGCTTCACCTGGAATATAAAATATGAACACAACATGTACAGTTTTGGTCCCATGTTTCATGAGCTGAAATAAAAGATCGCATAAAAATCTTATTTCTCTCAAATGATGTGCACAAATGTATTTACATCCCTGTTAGTGAGCATTTCTCCTTCGCCAAGATAATCCATCCATCTGACAGGTGTGGCATATCAAGAAGCTGATTAAACAGCATGATCATTACACAGGTGCACCATGTCTCGGACAATAAAAGGCCACTCTAAAATGTGCAGTTTTGTCACACAACACAATGCCACAGATGTCTCAAGTTTTGAGGGAGAGTGCAATTGGCATGCGGACTGCAGGAATGTCCACCAGAGCTGTTGCCAGATATTGTAATTGAATGTTCATTTCTCTACCATAAACCGCCTCCAACGTTGTTTTAGAGAATTTGGCAGTACATACAACCTGCCTCACAACCGCAGACAACGTGTAACCACGCCAGCCCAGGATTTCCACATCCGGCTTCTTCACCTGCAGGATAGTCTGAGCCCAGCCACCTGGACAGCTGATGAAACTGAGGAGTATTTCTGTCTGTAATAAAGCCCTTTTTGGGGGGAAGAACTCTGACTGGCTGGTCTTGGCCCCCTTGTGGGTGGGCCTATGCCCGCCCAGGTCCATCCATGGCTGCGCCCCTGCCCATTCATGTGAAATCCATAGATGAGGGCATAATGAATTTATTTCAATTGACTGATTTCCTTTGATGAATTGTTACTCAGTAAAATCGTTGAAATGTTGCGTTTATATTTTTGTTCAGTATAATTTGTCTGTTTTATGTCACAGATTTTCTTGTGTTTTTTATCACAGCCACGATCAGCAGTCTCAGCAGAAAACCCATCACCTGACACAGGGTCACCGCCATGATGCTGCTGGCTCTGTCTCTTCTCTCTCGTGGGAAACTAGCTCAGACCCTTCCTCTCTCTGTGGCAAACCTAACGTTCAACACTATCTTAACCTTCTCACTCGGTAGGCAAAAACAACACTCAACAATCAGAACCCTACCTACTGCATCACTGG